GATATGGGAACAGAGTGGTTAAATAGGGAACCTACAAGCAGGTTCCAGGTATGGCAGCTAGTGTAGAACCTTCGGGTAGACTACTTAAATTAGACAATGACTAAAGTTATATAAGTGACTAGTTGTACACTTTTTTCATGGTTGCCTCCTGTGGTTGTAATGCAACCATTAACTGAATGTACTATCAATAAAATTCTAGGTCACAAGTACTCACCTTAATATTTAAAAAAAAATAAAAATAAAAATACTTTTATAAACAACTTATAATTTATTTAATTAGAATGTAATGATTTAGTAAAGTGAATAGATTGTTAACCTTTAAATAGCAAGTATAAAGTTCAAATCCTAGTAATAATGAAAATTTGCAATTTTTTCTATATTACATATAACTGTTTTTCATAATTGATTAAGATTAGATAAGGCATTATAAACTTATGATAAGTCTTTAAGTTATGTAAATCACAGAAACCAAATAAGAAGACAGAAGCCTACATGAAAAACTTCAATAAAAAGGTAATTTGAACTTTTAACAATACTAGTATAAAGACTAGATCTATAAAATAGGGTTAGAACTTATAAAATCAAACAAATATGTTAGTCTTTGGGAAGAGACTAGATAAACCAACCAAGCTATCAGAATTTTCAGATTTTTAAAAAAAAAGATACATGTCAGAAATTATGTAAACTAAAGATATAATTATAATTTATTTTTTTAGGTTATCTGGGTTGACAGCTTGGTGAAACTTGAATTGAATATTAAAGTAGTAAAGATATATTATAAAGTCATTATTGAGATTAAGGTAAACTTTACAAAGACATAGCAGTTTAATAATATGTTCTGACTGCTAATATTGGTCTCAACTATAACAATATCAGATCAGTTGTAAAAATAGAATTTAAAAGGTTTAGTGTAAGATCAAAGATTTTTTATATAAGTAAATTGCTTTAAAAACTTAATGACTATAACATATTTTTACTGACATTGACCAAAGTTATTGATAAACAGATATAGGTAAATAGATATAAAAACTAGAATGGTTAAATAGGAAACCTACAAGCAGGTTCTAAGTATGACAGTTAGTATAAAACCTTCAAGTGAATTACTTAAATTAAACAATAACTAAAATTGTACAAGTGGCTAGTTGTATACTTTTTTTATGATTGTCTTCTGTGATTGTAATGCAACTATTAGCCAAATATACTATCAATAAAATCCTGAGTTGCAAGTACTTAATGTTTAAAAAAATAATAATAATAATTTTTCTAAATATATACTGTATAGCAAAAACTTTTATATTAAAAATATTAATGTATCTGGTTTAATTTTGTTTCAATTTCTAAAAAGTCTGATCCAGACTAGTTAAAAACTAATTCACCTCCTGTTAAAAACAAGCCTTACAATAGTTCTATTCTAGTAATTTAGTATAGATTTTATAATACTTCTTATTATAATCTTTACTATTATTGATCAACAAAATCGACACTTAACTAATTTTAACTTAATTCACCTAATTAGAGAATTTTATCTAAAATACTACCACTCAGGATGTTATTATTGATTCACATTTTAATGAATTTTATTTGATGTGTCAAAAATGACACTATTCATATCATGTGAGAGCTGGACTGGTTTTGGATCAAACCCGGTCCGCACCAGTTCCCCGTAATTACATAGTGCAGGTGAAAATTACAGCTATTTTCATAATTCCTGGAACACTTTATAAAAATTGTCCGAATGATGCCCTGATCGATTCGACTAAGTTTGTGATTTCGGCATAAAATTCCAATATTATACATACTGTCAGAGGTAGAAATAGACAACAAAGAAAGGCGTCGCACAATGTTACTCAACGATTCAGAGGCGGGGGGGTCTAAGGCTTGGATTGAGTAAGTCATGCAGGTACAATTATGCGTTACAAATTTCAGAGAACTTTATAGGAGCGAATTAGGTCTCTTATTTATTATTACTTTTTTGAGAAGTCTCGATTCTTCTCTCCTTTTTTTTCTACAATAACAAGGTCTTTTATACATTTTTAACAAGGAAAATAAGAAGACCAGAATAATTGTTCACGCCATTCTCGTTACTTTAGTATTTTCCCACCCATTGACTAAATCGCGCTATCCCGACAAGGTAATATTACCTTGGCATTTGTCAAACCAAATCGAATAGGTGGCTTTTCTCTCTACAGGATCGGCGCCATTAATTCAATAGGGGCTTGGAACTTACAAGTTTTCTCGGGCTTGCTGCAAGGGGTCGTCACGACGATCTTCGTGCGCTTCTGCCTGCACGTACGTATGTACAGTACGTAACTTTTACATTAACATTTAACTAGTGCAATGGCACATGATTATTGGACCTGCATTGCCAGTACTATGAAGGTTTTGGAAAATTCTAACATTGTAAATGTCGCCACGTTCAACATTAATAAATCTTTCATTTGAATACTTGCATGCTTATATATATCAAATTACAATGTAATTTATATGTATATAAAGTCGTACCCGATCATACCGAAATCAATAACTGAATCGGATTGACCGAAAAACCATTCGGACAATTTTTATTAGGAATTATGAAAATGGCTTTTTTTTATAAATCAATATGTAATAGTGAACAATAAATCTCGAACTAGCAGATAAAATTACATTTTCCGGGTTCATTTTAACATGCTCTTTAATGTAAAAATTCCTTTCTTTATTTGTTTTTATTTAACGTAACTTTGAATATTTTGTCGATCACCATTTCATAATACTATATGCTACGATAGACAAAAAATACAAAGTTAACGTTTTTGATATTTCTATTAAAAAACATCAAGGACCACAATTTTGCACGAAAATTGAATCCTCCACTATGTTCCAAACTATAGATGCTGGTAAAATGGTGAAATAGTTTCACCAAAATTGCACCGAAATAAAAATTTGGTGAAATGGTGAGATTGGTGGATTGATGGAATTGGTGAAATGGTAAATTGATGGAATTGGTGAAATGGTAAATTGATGAATGGTGAAGTAATAAAATAAATGGTGAAACGTTCATTTATTAATGATTAATATATTTGTCTACTTTTATTCTCTACGTATACCTAATTTCTACTTGATCCTATGACTACGTACTATTTTACCAATTCACCAATTAATTGCACCGGTTACACCGATACCGATTTGTGATTGGTGAAATGATTTCATCATTTCACCACTCTGATTTGTTACTTTACAATGAAAACTAAAATGAACCAGACAAATATAATTTTATTTGTGTGGGTTTGCTCGTTCGTTTGAATTTCATATGTTTTTACTATTACACTATCATTGATCCATAAAAAAATTTTGACTTTAAATCTTTACTAGAATTGAGATGCACTAAAGCCGAATAGTATTTTACATTGATCATGTGATTTTATTTTACTTCGAGTACTTCGATACATAATATAATTGTATTAATGCTTGTTAATCACAATATCGAATAAAATAGTTAATAAATTTCATCAAATGGCCGTGTGTCATTAAAGCAACTTTCAAAAACTTCATTAACCGCTTTTTCCGCTACACCAGGAGATGAACAAGATGCGTTTTTCTGAACAGAGAGTATAGCACGTCTCTTTACACAAGCCTTTATATTAAAACAATAACATTGCAATTACGCACTATATTTAAATAAAAAATAAATACACAAAATTAAAAGAATTAGCATGTATTTATGAACCTGATGTTGTTTCGTAAAGTTAAAAAATCCACGTTTAATTTCACGCGTCCATTTACAGTCACCACTCAAAGCAGCAGCTCGAACCTATTTGTAGTTAGTGAAAAAGTATTATATGATTACAATTTTAATAAAGAAGAAATAACGAACCTCACTACACGCATGGTGGTAACAACTATTCCAATCCACTTTAAATCGACAATGATCATACAAATGTATCATTTCGTGTACCATTGTATCTTCTACATGACGTTTACTATAAAATCTGTTTTGACACAACATTATACCGTGATCAGGAGAAAATCCTCCGCTACGTGTATTGTCACATGGTAGGCATTTAAAATGTTTTTTATCTGGTTTACATCCTGCGTCCTCTAAATTTTTTAGCATAAATACTACAATTGCGCCTAGAAATTAAATCAAATAAATTAGTCATTTTAACTTTTAACAGAAAAGAAAATGTACTCAACTACATACTATTTTTCGTTAAATCATCTCGCCATTTTTCACACCTTTTATGTTGATAATTACTTATTTTTCTTTCTGTTTCTATTTTATATTCAGCTTTTTCTTTTTCTGATAAACCTAAACCTGTAATATACATTAAACTTTTTCGCCATTTTTCGAAATTTTTGTCGTTTTTACTTTCTTCTAATAAATCAATGGGCTTTTCGGATTTTATGGGTATTGAATTTGCTAGGGTATTTTTTTGCGTTTCTTCAGAATTAATATCAGAGGACATTATTAAAGATTTGATGGACATCTGACATCTAATCTAAATTTTTTTATCGATCGGCATGTCCGACTCATAAGCAGTGATTATTAGCCAATCAAATTATATAATTTGCAATTCGTTATTTTATATATTATAGTAAAAACGAAAACTTCAAGAAAAAAATCATATAAATCGATAAATACGTATGATTTATTGGTTTATATACGTATAAAAGATAGATAGATACATATAGAGTGGAGTCGAAGTGGTAAAACAAAGCTTGAATCACTAACTCTATTATCTTTAAGCCTAGGTTGATATCTATAGTTAATAAACTCATACGCTTTAACAAACCAAGTCAACTTAAGAATATCTTAAATATAAAGCATAGATCTCTTACGTGAACAAGCTTGTTTTGCTAACTGAATTCTCAAGCTTTAAAAAAGAAGATAACTGCTTTGTTAATAACTACTTTTGCTTTTGTGCATTTTAAAATTTAGACGTGGCTTTTTTTCTTTACCTCTTGCGGAAAGTCGTGTCTAAGCCAACCCCACTTAAATTAGAGATTATTAGAGATTATTTTTAAAATTAGCTTTCTAGTACCTCTTCGAAGCTAAAGATATGTTTGTTAAGAATGGTTACTTGTGTAATGTTGCGTTCTCTCCAAAACATATAAATAAGTTACCCGGGAATTGATTTACATTAGCCAATCAGACGAATTTCTGCACATATACGAAAACTGGGGGTTCGAATTATCCGTATACGTACAAGTGTGCTAACTCTTTTTGATTACGTATCTTTTTTTTTTGTTTGCTTTTGTACATACGTATAAAAATTTAATTCTACGTATAATTTTTAATGTATTATGTTAAAACAAATTGACAAAATCGAAATAAAACAAGTTTTCGCTATGCATAAATTCAAATATTTTTATTTGTGAAAAATCGTTACATTAAGAATATCCATTAATAATTATCGTTATGATCAATTTTTTACTTTAACCGTAAATTTCATGTCAAATTTTAAGAAACTAAAAAAATTAATTACATCCAAATACAAAAATACATTGCCAACAGTAACTAAATAATTAAATTTGTACACTGATGTTCGAAGGTTTAAAAAAGTAATATTTGTTCAGATATACAATATATACATGTCCTTATTTATAAAGAAATATAGATTAACATTCTTGTAATTTGCAGAATTTGTAAATTTGAAAAAAAAGCGAATATTTTTGATTGTTTTATTTATTTATTTTTTAAACTACAATTTTTGACGTCAAATATTAACAAATATACTCGTTACATCTGCAAAAATTCGATCGATTTTCCAATATCATTATCAAATCACTTGCCCGCAAGACGATTTAAGGATAAATTTTCGAAGAGCGAAAAAAAAGTATATCGACCAAAAATGGATCTATATTAAAAAACTTTGAAAAAAAATATATATATTAGTGATCAACGATTTATCAAACGCGATTTTTTTTTTTTGATAAAGATAATTAGTTCGACTAAATCTTTTTTTTTTTTAAAAAAAAAAACAATAATAAAACTGTCACCAAAACATATAATTTACTAAACTTCAAATTTCGTTCTGTAAAAAAAATAATAAAAAAATTAATAACACTGTCATTAAGTAGTAATAGAAAAACGTTAAAATCTTATTTTAATAAGGAAGTCGTAACCGATTTCTCTTACAAAATCGGTTGACCTTATCAATAAGATACATTAGAATGTTAATCCTTTCGTGGAATCATAACAATCCTTGCAAAATAAAACTATATAAGTAATGGCGCCAAAGAAGGACGTTCACAGATAATTCTGTGGCCACGATGCGCTTCCAGTTCTTTGACTATGGTTCGTCTGAAATCACCATCGCAGCATTGTTTTGTATAAGATACACCTCCCTTACTGTATCCCAAAACAAATAGCTCAAGCAACCGCACCAAGGAATCCAGAACGAAGGGAGCCTTAAAAGGGACAGTTGGATTGTAACCCTATATGTGTCAGAACAAACCACGTACCATTCCTTACATAGTCTATAATGCAAAGTCACCTTCGCAATATTGTTCCATAAGATAACACCTTCTCACTATATCGAAACAAGTAGCTAGGCGAACTCACAAAAGGCAATCCAAAGGAAAAGGGTTTAACTATCTACCTTATTTAGTTCTAAGTATTGTTTCTTCTACAAGTCGCGAGATCTTGTTTCTTCTCTAGGTTGTCGCTTCTTCTCTAAGTTGTCGCTTCTTCTGAGTTTCATTTTTCGTGTTTATTTATGAGATCTAATTTTTGAAAAATTCGTGGCATTATATAGGGTGTTTATTTTTGTTTTGATTTTCGGACTGATTCGGAATTAATCGGATTTCACGATTTTGATTGGTTAAAGGTAACAGGTGACTATCGTGATGTGTTGACCCTACGTAGCTTAGTATAATTTTTCTTTTACATTATTTCGATTTTTTATTATGCAAATCGACTTTCATTTATAATTGAAAAATGTCAATCATGTCAAAATTTATATGAATATAATGTGAAAATGGGCTATTTCTATTGCTTGCACCGGAGTATATCATATGATGATCATCTTTTTTAGACACGCGTCCTCATAGGGGACATTCATATGATTGGCTGATGTAGATCAATTTCACGTAACAAACAAAACTCGGTTCTAACTTTCAATGAACGATCTCAAACTGACAGTTCAGCAGTTTACTTATTTATTGGGCCATATAAAATTATTTCATATAAATATCTGTAGACAATCAACTAACTTAAAAAAGGTAATTGAAATGCGTTTGTTAAAACTCAACTAAGCTAAAAAAAAACCATTACTGACTGTTTAACTAATATATATTGTAGATGTAAATCTTTTTCAATAAAAGAACCTGGTTTATGTTTGAGTTCGTTTGGTTTTTGTAACGTTTTTTTGTGTCTGTTGATTGTAGTAATAAATTTAGAATCGTAAGTAGTAGATTTAGGTTCACCGACAATAAAACACATATTGTACTTGGTTTTGATAATAAATAGTATCGTTTTACATATATTTTAGTCATACTATATAAAATTTTGTTTGTTTTTTCTTATTGATTCATATAGCGATAGGCTTTGTTTCTTTAATTATATAAAAATGATGTTTGATTTCACGGGTAGATCTACAGAAATCAACCAACCAGATCAATGACCTCCCACAAATCGAAATTCAAAGCTACGTTCATATGTCCGACTATATCGGATAAATAAACCCACAAAAAAATTTTCATTCACGTAACTAACAGATGCACGATTTGTCACATCTAATTCATAAATTATACGTACAAATTGTCAAATTTAAGCTTTTAAATTTTCATTCAAAACCTTAGCCCTAGTATTTTATGTTTCTTAAAACATAAATGTTAAAGTTTTTACAAATAAGAAAGTATAAAAAAATTAACAATTAGTGTTTTTTGTAAGAATTTTACTATATTAAGTAAAAATATTCAGAACTTCCAAAACCTACCTTTAACTAAAATTTAAAATTTTACATCTAACTCCTGTCTTATACTAAAACTAGTGTTTGTAGTCGATTCGTATTTATCGACTTGACTAAGCCAATATTTAAGCTTAGCCGATGAATCTGATTGAATAACTATAATCACATGATAATCTAATACTAACTGTTATGCTCAGTCTCTTAATGATCTAAAACGTAGTACTGTAGTTTTGTATAAAGATAGTATACAGTAGTTCAAGATTTGTATGTGTCAATAGAGCTACAAACATATAAGGCTTTTACTTTATCCAGAATGTACATCTAGTGTTCTAAATATACTGTACTTTCTGAAAATGATATCTGAATGAATATAGTTTATAAGGCACAGTAGTCATGTAAAAGATTATTGGCTAATGATCACGTGTATGTGAATTAGCATTATAATCATACGATCTGATTGACCGAAAAAATCGATCGTGATTATCACTTAGCGTTAGGTCTGGAGCTGCGACCACCAATTTGTTTCATAGAACTGCTGTGATTGACTAAATTTTAAAATCCGCATTTCGAACAATGAATTTTTAATAATTCGTTTTTCGATTAACCGCAATAATCACTCAATTAATCATAATGCTTTGAGCAACATCCCGATCACTAGCTAATCACATCGAGGGAGCTGCTTGGGAACACCCTTAGTCAATTTTTTGAAAAATAGTCAAGTCGACTATAAACACTAACTAAAACAGTACTGGCTCTAAAAATAAATCACCTGATATTTGTAGTAAAATCTTTTTGTAAACTAATATAGTGCAAAATTTTCTTTAATTTGCAAATATTTGTTATAAATATAGATTATTAAGGAGCTTTTACTTATTATGCAAATATAGCCCTTCTCTGGGGGTTCTAGAGTAAGTTATTTGGCAATTACAAGTTTTAATAAAAACCCAATCAGAATCAAGTTGACAAAATTAACCAAACTATGTTGACCGTAAACATAAAAATTTATGCCCTATAACTAAATGCTGGATGTTTTATCTTGTCCGTAGTGGTATATACAACATTTATTTGGCAACCGAAATTTTTTCTATTTAACCACACTGTGATGTTATTGAGGATACGCAGAGTATAGAGTACCTTTTCTATAATTGTTCAAAATTTGGGAAACATTAAACCTCCAGTAAAAGCTAAAGTGAGAGATCTAAATTCTAATAAAGTGATAATGAATTTTAATGCTAACTAATAACTAAACTAAACCAATTATTTTTTGGACGAATCTAATTGTAACTAACATCTTACTTAATATAGGCAATAAAAAATTCGTATATCCCAACCCCAAACTCTAAATTCTACAGGGATGTTACATGTAACATCTGTTACGAATACATTTTTTCTTCTTTTTTATCGCTAAAAATGCCAGAAAACGCGCTCTGAAGCGAACGTTCATAAGCAAATTTTGGATTATACCCGCCCGCTCGCATAATAAGTGAAGGAGTGGGCAAATATCTGTAAAAATTGATGCGTTAAGGGTAAAATTATGATATATATAACAACTAATGATAATGTTATATAATGCAAGGATACGTGTCGTAATATTTATCTTTGAGCGTATAATGATCAATGTCCATATATTCTGACGCAATAGGATCAAATTCTTTTGTCTCTTCTTCTTGGGAAACTTTATCTAAACCGATCAATAATTCACCAATACCATCATTATTATCATTGTCTAATGAATCTTTGATACGAATATTGGACTTCTTGCGAGCTACTCCCTTCTTTTCCAATATTGATTTTGCTGATTCTGTGGAATTCGCCTATCAACATAGTCATATAAATATCGTTAAATTGTAGTATATTGATATTAAACACTCTTTATACTGAATTCTCGGAGCTTATTAAGAAATTTTAGTTAAAAAGTGTATTTAATGTCTAAACCGAACTTAAAATTTTAAAGTTCGGACCTAACATAATTGGTATATCTAGGTTTGGTTTAGAGAAAGTAGATGGTAATATATTAAATCGAAACAAATACACACCAGTAATTCAATTACTTCAGCTTTATGTGCTTCTTTGGCTTTTTTTTCCTCAGCCAATTTATTAGTATACTCTTCGAAATTTTTTTTCTTTTTTTTTCGTTCATTATCTTGAACTCTAGAAGCCCATTCCTCTTCTTCGAACTAGTTAATAGTTAATTATAAGTATTATTTTTATTACAAGTTCATTATCAAATGGTTGTTCGATATACCTGCTTTTTTGCGTTTCTTGCTATTATTTCTCTGTTTTCAGTGGCGAAACTTTCAATCCGAGCTTTCGTTTTTTCCAGATCGATATCATTATTAAGGTTCCATACTAAATTTGAGGCAAACTTTCCATTTTAAGATTAAGATTTCATTTATATGAAATTATACAGATTTTTAACATTGAACAAACCCAACTTTTCAACCATTTCAAGATAGTCGTTATATTCCTTTGGGGCATTAAAATCTTCCCTACGCTTATTAAACCTATAGGCATTACATTATTTAGTAAATATTTAGTGATAAAACTGTAATAAGGTTCAAACTTATAAATATAATTTACTGTTGAGCAAGTTTTTTACGAATTCTAACTTCTTTCTCAACACTTAAATCTTCGAACGTCGGTTCCACAAAGCTTATTTTTCTTAATGTCTTTTTACAGCCTGGGATAGGGCATTCAGTTGCACCATTAGCAAACAAACGATCGATACACGATTGACACCTAAGAATATATCGAAATCATGGACAAATTTTTCTTTTTATAATATGAAACGAAACAAAGTCGAATTTTTACTGACATTTTATGATAACATTCACTCACAAGCAACCTCATATTGGGAGTAAGATATCGAGTGTTCCTGCAAACTGGACATTCTTCGTCAGGATCCTGAAAGCCTTTGCCATTAGGAGTCGTTAAGCGAGAAGTCATCTATAAATTTTTTTTGTAAATACGTAATGGTCCTTACAATGTTTATTAAACATGTGCCTCAACGTGTAACAAAATGAAGTATAATTTGGAACCGGTTTGATTTAATCGGTTTTATCCAGTGATTCGCGAGGTTAACCGTAGCGAAGCTTAGATTAAACTTGGAGTTAATAGTCGAGGCCAAAACTATCGACCGACTAAGTCGATGTTATAAAAACTGGTTTAACCAGCTTAGTCGACTAAAAAATATTTTTGACCAATCAAGCCGAAAGCAAACAATTTTAAAATTTCTTTTATTTCTAAATTATTGAGATTAGAAGTGCCATAGAATTCGAAATCAACCGATAAATAAATTGGGGACTAAGTCGATTTTTCAAGAAAAGTCGACCGACTTAGCCGACTGCTTATAACACGATTACTAAATTTTATATTTAACACTTATTGTACCATATTGTCTCGAAATAGCGCCCAGGGTGTGGTTTAAAATTTTGGCCCGAATTAAGTAAATTCAGCCTAAATTTTGCCTAATTCGGGCCAAACCACCGGGCGTCATTTCGAGACAATACGGTATAGTACTTGTTAACAATATACGATGTTTCAGAGTTCATATGTTTACAATTTTCACGACTTTGATGATTTAGATTTTTTCGCAGGTAAAGATTTGCTATATCCTCGATATTAAGTTTTGTTTCAGAAGCCATAAATGCATTAGGATTTACTAAAGTAAAAACTCAACGATAATCATGGTATAAGACTTGTCAGCCTCGAATATTATCGTTATATGAGTATATTCATTAGAAAGTTACAAATTATATGATTTTTTTTAAAAAAATATCACATTAAACTACAAAAATTACAAAATAGCATTACAGAACTTTATATAATTAGTAAAGTTTATTACATTAAATCATAATATTTATTTTAATTACATCAGATTAAATTACAAAATTTGATTTAATCATATACAAAATTTAGTCTTAATTATCATTTCTTTATATATATAATTTTTACTACCATATGATGATCTATAAAAATAAGCCAAAACCAAATCTTGATTTGGTGTAATGTAAAAAGTACTTGAACAATTATTAAATAAAAATTTGATTTGCTAATCACTATATATAGAATTAACATTATGCATCTCAATTAACTAATAAAATAAATGTTTTTTTATGTCTATAATATTATTGAGTTAGTTGTAAGAATAAAATATAAAAGATTCTAAAAGTTTAGTATAAGGTTAAAGGTTCTTTATATGAATAAACTGCTTTAAAGACTTAGTAATTATAGCATATTTGCATCAGTATCAATTAGAACATTTTGGTAAATATAGATAAATAGGTAAATATAAAAACTAAAGTGTTTAAATAGAAAACTTACAAGCAGGTTTTAGATATAACAGCTAGTGTAAAACTTTTAAATAAACTACTTAAATTGAACAATAACTAAAGTTGTTAAGTAGCTAGTTATACACTCTTTTTATAATTGCTTTTGTGATTATAATGCAACTATTAACTAAATGTATTATCAATAAAATCCTAACTTATCTTAATATTTTTAAAAAAAATAATAGAATATAAAAGTATAAATATAATGTTATATTGAATAACTATAATAATTTGTAATATAGTAATACAAATAGAAATGTAAAAATTGTAATAATAACATTAAAGTTAATGAACAAATTTATAAGTTGATATTATAAAAAAAAAATCTAAAAAAATAATATAAAAATATAATAAGAAATAATAAATAAATTAGTTATTATTTATAAAATAAATATAATATTTATATATTTGGTTCTTATAAATTTAATTTAAATATTTTTAACACTATTTTAAAATTTAAATACTATTTAGAATTTTGATATTTTAAAACAATTTTGGCTAATAATATCAATAATATATAAGTATTTATTATAGTTAATATTATATATAATTATATTAAAAATATAAATAATGTCTAAAAAAAATATTAATTTTTTAATTAAAATCTTTTTTAATAAATATAAAAATTAAAAAAATTAATAAAAAATTATTATTTTTATATTTTTATATATTTTTATAAATAAACAAATATTTTATATATTTTTATAAATAAATAAAACCTATTTTTAAATATTTTTATAAATAAATAAATATTTTTATATACTTTTATAAATAAACAAAAAACATTTTTATATAGTTTTTTACAAATAAATAAACAATTATTTTTATTTATTTTTATAAATAAATAATTATTTTTATGTATTTTTATAATAAATAAATATTTTATATACTTTTATAAACAAAAAAATAATATAAAAATTTTTTAAAAAAGTTTATATAATAGAAAAAATTAGATTTTATAAGAAAAATTAATTATATATCTTTTTTTATAATAGTTATATAAGTAAAATTATAAGAAGATTTTTATATTTTTATAAATTTATATTTATATTACTTAAATTTATTATTAATCTATTATATTTATATTTATAATTATTTTTTTACTATAAATATTTTTATTTATTTTTTATATTGTTTATATTTGTTTTTTTATATTTATATATATATTTTTTTTAAAACTAAAAAAAATTATTTTATTATTTATTTAAAAATAAAAATAATTTAATTAAAATAACAAATAATAAATCTTATAAATTTTTTAAATATAATTATATTACTAACTTTTATATATTAAACAATTTAAAAAAGTTATTTAACTATATTTATTTTAAAACTGATTATAATATTAGTATATTTTATTAACAAGTTCAAAATAAACTAAATTTTAGTTTTAAAAAATATTTTTTAAATTTTTATTTTTAAACAATAATGAATTTATAGTTTATAAAATTCAAATAATTAATTTATATTATATTAATTGAATAGTAAAATTAAAATTTATTTTTTTATTTATTTTTATATTTTTAAATTAATTTTTAAATAAGTTTTAATTTAAATTTATAAGTAGGTTTTGCAAATTTTAATTTAAGTTTATAAGCAAGTTTGCAAATTTTAATTAAGTTTAAACTAAGTTTTATAAATTTTTAAATAATTTTTATAAGTCTTTCTATTATATTTAATTCTAACAATAATAAAATTTATTGTTTTAATGTTTATATAATTAAAAACTAAAAGATAATGATATATTTGTAATTGAAATTCAAAAAACAAGAAAATTAATCATTTAAAACTAATTATAAAGAAAAATAATATTTTTATTTGATTATATTCTTTTAAAAATAATAAATTTGTAACAAAAAGTAACTTTGAAACAATTATATAATTTGAAAAAAATATTTTAAAATTAGCATTTAACTATTATTTATATAATATTATTAAAATAATTAAATTACACATTTTTTTATTAATATTTTAGTAAACAAATTTTATTTTTATAAAAAAATATTTATTAGTTAATTAGTTATTATATAAAGTCATAAAATCTAATTAACAAACCAGAACAGTATATACCTACAGTTGCACTTGTAGTCTTTCTGGCCAACAATATATAGAATATTTTTACAATTCTTATACTTGCCTATCACAAGAAAAAGCTAATAAAAAACTAACTAAATAGATATCTGAATAAATAAACTACAGTATTTCAACTAATTATATTTTACATTATCAAATCTAGGTGAGTTTTAACTACTCTAGTAGGTTTAGGTTGCAGATAAATTAGATAAATTAAATAATAATTTTATCTATAATCTGAGTCTCATTCTTGTAAAAAATTTGTAAATTGACTTTGGCCTATATCAACTTATGTAGTTGCTTATAATAAATTATTAATAAAGATAAAGGCAAAATCTCATCTTAATATCAAAAAAAAATAAAAAAATAAAAACTAATTAACTGATTCAAAACCATCTTTTATTATAATCATCCTTAAATATTATCTTTTATCTAAAGACAAAATAAAAATAAATTCAACTATTGCTATTGCTAAACATTTTTCTTTAGTATTTAATTTAAAATATGCTTATATTTTTATTTATTATCTTTATTATATGATTATTTGGCTTGTTAATTATGATTAAATATAAAAATTTTTTAAATATAATTATTCTTTATGTTATTTTTATTTATATTATATTTTTTATATATTATTTGTATAACTTATAAAATTAAAATATAAATAATTTTTATATAGTATGTAATTTGTAGGTTTTCGATAATTATTTGTATTGGAGTATTATTTTTATTACTTCAAATCTAATAAAATAAGAATTATCCCTTATTTTAGCAGATTTTTAATAAGTAAATGCTAAATGTTTATTGTTTAGTACCAATTCCATGTTGAATACCAATACTGAGTTTGGATGCATTACCCATTTCTCAGATTTGTAATAATAAAAGAGTGCCTTTTGCCTACCTTTTTCAATTACAATTCCATTCTCATAACAAACGCCAAGATTTTACATCCCATTAGCATTTCTTGTGTCAGCTGATTTCTGATAGTAGATAAATGCTTTATGGTCATCATTTTCAATTCCGGATCCATTTTGAAGCAACAACCAACTAGAATCATCCGACAGAAGCATCCATCTCCGCAGATTTTTGATAATAAATAAATGCCTTGTGCTCATCTACCAATTCTTTCATCATAACAATAACCAACGAGTATTATTCTCTTAGAATTTCCCATCTCTGCTGATTTTTGATAATAAGTAAATGCCTTGTGTTCATCCTTCCCGACACCAATTCCTTTTTGATAACCACGTTGATAACAATTGCCAATTCGAAGCATTCCACCGGACTCACCGATTTCTGCTGATTTTTGATAATAATATAATCTTTATATTCTTCCTTTTCAACTCCAATCCCTTTTTCATAAAAATAACCAATATTATGTACCCTCATAGTATTTCTCATCTCAATAGACTTTTCAATATCAATAATTAGCTGATTAATTTCCGCTCCTTTTTATTCTGTATGATCCATCTTAACAAAGTTTTTAAAATAATCCATTGATTTTTCCACATTTTTCCAACCCCATTTCCATGCATATAACAGCTATAAACTAAAAATGTTCCTTTAACATGCCCTAGATCTGCAGATTTTTGAAAATTAATAAATCATTTATGCTCATCCTTTTTGACTCCTTGTCCAAAAAAAAAAATTCATCTAGGCGATATATTTCATCAGCATTTTCCATCTCTGCGTATTTTTCTGAATCTTTTTGTTGAATGTTTTCATTCTTTTCTGTTCCATCCAGTGGATCCGTAATTATTAGGATCTCGTCAGTTTTCTTCTAATAAATAGTATAATAATGGTTAAATTACAATGTTAATGTTTTAAGAATCATTATAATATCTCACCAATCATAATTACCTACACCCGTAGCATTTAGAGGTTTGAATCGTCTGTTAGCATGAACTTCTCTGACATATATATTGAAATGAGATGATGTTGACATATTGAGATCAAGAATTTCATCTGCTTTTCTTACTTGTGCAGCAATTTCAGATGACTCATTTGACATATTATTCCATACGCTTATAGTGTCATATATTTCTTTAGAAGTTGGTCTTTTATTTTTGGTTTAACATCCTAGCATTTAATAATTAATTCAGCAACTAACTGTGATACATGTTCTGGAATGCCTGGACTTAAACCATTATAAATATTACGTTGCAATTTAATATCATGAGGAATTTTATTATATTATTTCATATAAAATTATGCCAAAAGAATATACATCAGATGCTTTACTATATATTTTACTATATAATACTTCGGTGCTATATATGGAATGATGTCATAAACATTTTCATTTGATCTTATGTTAGCTAATGTTGAAAGCTCCAAGTCCACTATATAAACATTTTGCAAATTTGCTAGCAGCATATTTGTATATTTCCACTGTGTAAATCTCGATGATTTCGAGAATGAATTACTTACAGGTCAGAAGCAATACAATTCAACAAAGTTAATTGCTTTTTCCATTTCATTTGTGAAACAGGATAAAGATTTCTATATAAAGCTCACATTTTTTTATAATGCATAACAAGTAGATAATCCTTAGAAGCATCGTCCCTTGATATACTTAAACAATTACTAAATGTAGGATTTTTGAGGCCAATATGACAATATGCCTTCAACTATTTTATATATTACTATAAAAATTACAGACATCATATAAAAATTAGCAGAAGGATTTGAATGAAGATTACTTCATTTAATAATTCTTTACCGCAACTATTTGATCCGTGAAGTAATTTAAGTGCAATTGTTGTTATAGCATATTGACTTCTACTGGCCCACGGAGCACGAAATACAGTTGCAAATCCACCTTTTCCTATCATTTCAACATCTTTAAATTCATTATAATGATAATCATGTTCAATCAATATTTTTTTAAGCTATCATCAATATCTGTGCTTTTGTGCACCCATTCATTCATGACTAATCAAATAAAATATGAAACTTAATTAATTGGATCCAGAATTATTTAGTTGCACACATCAGAACAGAAATTACCTAATGTTATGTCCTTTTTCCTAATTAATAGGTTAAAATTATTTTATTATTTAAATAACTTGAATATTGAAAATGCATAAAGGTCATTTACTTTTGATACCAATAAATTAGCCTTTTGCAAATCTCTTATAGTTCCAATCCCATTTTTATAACAGTAACCAACTCGAATCATTCCATGAGCATAGCCCATATCAGCAGATTTTTGGTAATATAAATGCTTTGTCTTCGTCCTTTTCAACTCCGATTCCATTTAAATGACTGTTGCCAATATTATACATCCCATCGACGTTTCCCATCTCAGCAGATATTTGATAATAGAAGGATGTATTATGTTCATCTTTTTCAATTCCAATTCCTCTGTGATAACAAATTCCAACCGCATTTATTCCAGCTGAATCTCCCATTTTAGCGGCCTTTTGGTAATGAGTAAATGCATTATGTTCATCTTTTTCAACTCCAATCCCGTTTTCATAGCAATAACCAAGATAACATATTCCTTCAACATGATTCATCATTGCAGATTTCTGATAATAGTTAAAGGCTTTATATTCATCCTTTTCAACTCCGATACTAACTTAAAATATTCCGTTTGCATTTTCCATTTCAGCAGATTTTTGATAATAAGTGAATGCCTTATGTTTATCTTTTATAACCCCAATTCCTATTTTTTAAAAACGGCCAACGTTATATATCCCATTACTACTTCTCATCTCAGCGGATTTTTGATAGTAGATGAATGCCTTATGCTCGTCTTTTTCAACTCCAAGTCCTTCCTCAAAACAATAACCAACAGCATATGTCCCGTCAGTGTTTCCCATCTCTGATGAATTTTTGGTAATAAATAAATGCCTTATATTCATCTTTTTCAACACCAGGTCCTTCCTCGCAACAATAACCAACAAAATATGTCCCATTAATGCTTCCCATCTTTGAAGACTTTTGGTAATAAATGAATGCTTTATATTCATTTTTTCAACCCCCGTTCCTTCTTCGTAACAACGTCTGACACTGTGTCCCATCGGTACTTCCTATTTCTGCAGATTTTTCATAATGAATAAAGGCCTTATGCATATTTTTTTCAACCTCAAGCCCTTCCTAATAACAATGACCAACAAAATATGAAAGACTTTTGGTAATAAACGAATGCCTTAAGCTCATCCTTCATAGCCCCAAGTCCTTTATTGTAACAAGTACCAACCAAAAATGTCCCTTCAATATGACCCATATCAGCAGATTTTTGGTAATAAATGAATGCCTTTTTCTTATCCTTTTCGACTCCGATTCCATATTAATAACAATTACCAAGATTATATGTTCCATTTTCAGCGGACTTTTGATAATAGGCAAATGCTTTATGATTATCCTTTTCAACCTATTTACCAATATAAAAACAGCTTGCAAGAATAATTTGAATTATAGGATTATTTTGATCATTAAAAAACCAATTGATTATATTATCTGGGGTTTGATTCATTTTTACTAAATAATTATCCATTATGTCAAGAGTTGACTTTATATATTTTCCATTTATTCTTTCTTCATTATATATATCGCGTAATCTGTTCATAACCTCTTTGAGAAAGTTTTATGAACCGTCGTTGTCTTTGTACAAATATGAATACATTTTATAAAATTTTCAGTGAGTCGGATAATATCATTTGATGAGCTAATAGTTGTAAATTTTTTGGTTTAAAGCTCTCCTTTATTTGCGCGTAATACAATTTATCGATATCAGGTATTGAGTGTTAGGAAATGGCAAAAACACAAGACATTCGTTTCTTGAGAACTACACTATAACTGTTGAGTAAAAGAGGAGTTAAAGAGCGACAAGATTTGAAATAACCTGTTTGGCTCTAATAATGTACTATATTTCAAAAGGAACCATCCCATCAATTTGAAGGGTGTTACAAAATTGATAAAAAACGTTTTTAGTATTTTTCGAATGACTTATTCTACGTGGCAGCAGATTTGCACTTAATATTTACATACCGAAAATGTATAGAAGATTCAAATTAACCAATAATATTTGCACACATGATTAAGTACGGCATTTATATTTCGTTAATTCTGTAATTAAGACATTAAAGATCATTCTGTTAATATTTTCAAAAGAATAAATGATTTGCCTTGCAAAACTTCTAGTGTTATATATGGTAAAGCATGAAGATGAAATTAAACTATAGTGGTGAAATAATTTCACCACTATTGGTGAAATTAATTCACCAGCGTTTTTAGCAAAGCACCGTAAATTCACCTTGATACCTTATCTGACATTTTATCAATCGATGCGAAAATCCTAAATCGTTATATAATACTAGTAAAGATGAGCCACAGAAGACTATCAGAAGAAATTTTAAGAATTGAAAATTAGATCAGTAATTGTAAAGGTAGGCAATCAATTTAGAATGTTTCTGAACATTCCTATGTACAATAAATATTTCAATAAGTAATATGATTTATAATTATTATAAACGGATGACTTTATTCAGATCAATTATAATGATAATTTTTTAAATTAACATTATCAATATCGAAGATATTAAAGCAAATGATATAAATTCGGTTGAATTAGCTACCATAATTGAAGGCATCGTTATCAAAATATAAGAATTATTAAAATGATTCAGGAACAAATCATCATAATTTGATTTTAATATAATGATAGCTACTCTAAATTTTTTCACCTAATTCTTCCAATAACTTAATTGCTTTTGAATGACTTTTGTTAGCTGCGAATCTTAAATACTCTAATCCAAGCTTCTTGTTTTGTTGCACTTTAAGCTTTCTATGCACATAAATATCTCCTAAACAATATATGGCTTCAACTTGCTCATGACTAGCTACTAATTTGAGATAATGCAGAATTTGGCTGCGAGTTTTCTCAATATCAGAAAGCAATCCAAACGCATATCGAGTCTGCGCCTCAGCATGATCATTATCAGCTGCTTCCTTATAAAGTCTCATAGCCCGCTCCTTGTCAGTTTCAACTCCATGGTCATGATATAAGTAATACCCTTGCCAAAATTTTGCTAGTGGATTACCAAGATTAGCATTTTCTTCAAAACATTTCCATGCGCTTTTGTAATCTTTCTTTTTATGAAGTTCAATCCCTTCTTCAAGAGGCATTACAAAGTCGATTGTGGGATTGTCATCCTTAGTTGTTTTAGATATAATAGATCCTGGAATTATTAATTTAGAATGAGATTCGTGAGAAATAATTGGGTAATTTTCAGCCAAGTCTTCAAGTATTATATGCAAATTTGTAAGAGTTATTCTTTGATGTGGTACATGATGCCATACTAATTTTTTTTTTTTTTTTTTTTTTAAATATTAACGGTGAGGCCATACTAAATTTTAAACAGGAATAAATTTAAACTTAATATAAAAAGTATATATGATGCTAGTAGGATTGACCTAAACTTACTTTTATCAATTATTTTAATGAATTCTTCTTGGATCTTTTTATCAACAGGATTTTTAAATTCCCAAAGTAAAAGTTGTTCTCGTTTACCATCTAAAACATGATCCATTATTATTTTGGGACCAAATTTTATATAAGGTATCGTTTCATAACAAAGCTCCCAAATAAGCATCCCAAAACTAATTATAAAGATTAATGATTGAATGAAAAATAAATTTAACTCAATATCCTTATAAAATGAGATGATAAATACCTATAAATTTCACTGTTAATTGTGTAAATCTTTCCACTAATTTGTTCGGGAGCCATCCAGTTAATAAAATCTCTTATCAAGTCCAAAGGAGTCATAGTCATTTGAATTAAAGTACGAGTATGTCCAAAATTTCCAAGTTTTGATCCAAGTTATTTGATATCTATAATATATAATAATTTTTTATTATTATCATCTAAATATTATTGATTTTTCTAATAATACTTACAAAAGTTTTCACACCTAATATCATTATGAAAAATATTTATACTATGTAAAAATAAAATACCACGACAAATATCACGAATAATTTGTATTTTTTTAGTCCAAGGAATGCTATGGCTAGAATAATATTCTTTTAAACTTTCATGTTCAGACCACTCAAAGACCATAACTTCTTGTTCATCAATATTAGAAAGACCATAAAAACGGTGGATATATGGCGATTGATCCAACTTTCCACGTATTGCAAATTTTGTTTCAAGACTAATTTCTGAAGTGATAGAGTGACATGCAACTTCTATACTTTTATAGACTTTCTTAATAACAGAACCACAAAAATCTCCTTGATTTGACATTGAAGGATCTGTTAATTCATTTGGATTGATTCTTTGTATATAAACTTCATTTGATTTTTGATTCACTTTAGATCTGAATAATATTATGCTTTGAGTTATCTCTTCAAGTTTGCTATTTTCGATACCATAATTAAGCTTTTCAAGATCCTAACAATGATTAAATAAAGTTTAAGATAAAACAATTACTCTAAATATAATGAAAAATACTAAGCTTTTTCTTATATTTATTGTGTTTTCCTTTTAAAAACATGGGTATAAGTGTTATGATGCAGTTAAATATTACGACGAATAACTCCCAATTCTGATGAGATATCATTAATTTTTAAAAAAGGAGATAAATTATGACACATGTATCGCACACATGATATCTTGTTATCTACCGAACAGAATTAGACGATACTAGCAAAACTATTAAAACATGTATGTGGTGTTGAACACCGCTGTTGTGATTTAGTGCTTTTGAAAAATCAATATAAGACGTTATACGCAAACATTTTATTAAGTAAATCATCCTTTGTGCATTATTAAAACTTGTTCATAGCAATAACTTCTAGATGTTTTCAAATTTTTATAAAAAATCGGTTAACTTTTTATTAAGTGACATTTACAAAATACGTTTTTGTATCAAGAAGAAATATTATGGCGAAAACGTTTTTACAAATATCACATTATCCGATTTATATGAGAATTTAGAAGTAGGTAGAACTTATCTTTGCAAACAAGTTTTATTAATGCATAAGATTTTTTGACTTTCTTAATAAAAAGCTTCACTTTTAGCGTACTACAATCTCTTCTTGTTATAGTTCTGAAATAAAAAAAAATCAAACATTTTTTATTTTATTAATGATATCTTGATCCTAATCGCGTGATTTCACCTCCAATCGATTCGCCTCATCGAGACGAATCGAGTGGTGGCAAAATCGCCACTGGATCACTAGATATTGCGTATGCACCATAATACCTATGTAAACTATTACATAATTATAAAATTGTCAGTTCATATCGTAAGAAATGATTATGTTTCTAAGTCATTACATGTACCTTTAGTGCTTTGTCGACCTTTTGATCCTCTATTAATCTATCATATTTATTAATAATTGCAATAATAAAATGCAATTCATCCATACAAGTATCATAGTCTTGAGTCAATTTTTCATATTTGTTTTTAACTTTACTGATATCAAAAAAATTTCCAAGACCTTCAAGCTTTGACGCTTTCTCAGTAAAATTCTTAATTTCTGTCAAAATATTTACATATTTTATGAAAGACAAATAATATTCCTTTTCATAAAAAGGACATTTTTCTCTTCTCATCATTTTTATTCATGGCAAATTCGGCTGTTTTTACTCGTTCTGTCATAATTAAGCATATGCCCTTATTGCATTCCGCATTTTCGTAGAAGTTACAAATTTTATAACTAAACTATTTGCCATACTGACTAAAGGAAGAATGTTAGAAGCTATCATTGTAGCACTTGTATTAATAGATATGTCTATATCATTATATTGGTCTTGATTATCTTCATTACGATAAACTGGGACCATTTGCACATTCTCTAGCCTATCAGCAATGTTGTTTATGCTAGGACGTAGAGTTGGTTCATCATTCCAAGCTTCACGATATAGGTTCATAAAATCAACAGGAGTCATATCAATTGGAGTTTCACGATTTCCATAGATTACATAGAGAGCTATTTCCTTATCTTCTTATTTTTAAAAGGATGAACACCACTTGATAATTCCCAGAAAACCACACTGAGACTATATATATCTGAAGGTTTGTTTCTTTTATATGTATGTATATCTTTGAGATATTGTGGATCCGAAAAAACACATATTTCACTAGCGATAGGTCCAGCATTGGATTCTAATGGCTTAGATAAACCAAAATCTGTAATCATCAATCTACCATCATCGTGGACAAGTATATTCTTATCATGCTATTTAATATTATCACAGTGTTAATGTGTATACTAAATAAAACTAAGTGATGAAAAAATTATATATATATACAAGATTTCGATGAATGAGGTTTGCACTATGCAAGTAATTAAGCTCACTAGAAATTTCCTTTGCCATTTTAATTTTTGCGGGCCAATCTAATTCTGCAAATGGTCATGCAAATAATCTCGAAGGTTTCCTTTACTTGCCAATTGGAGAATCATATAGCATCTTTTGGTTGCGTAATCTGAATTACATTAATGCTAGGTGTTTAATAAAAGTTATTATTCCGTAAATAAAATCAAGTAAAATCAGCATACCCTGAGTGATTCCAAGGAGTTTCTTTTAAAAATTATAATGATTTTTTTGATATTTTTTTGCAAAAAGATGAATTTATGTAGGATTTTGATTGATTTCTTAAGAATAATCAGATTAATGTTATAAATAATATGAATGAGTTTGAACAATATCTAACTGATTCACTTGTTTCTCATTCTCATTTAGGTGCATTTAATATTTTAGTTTGGTAGAAAGAAAATGAAATAAAATATTCATTTGTCTTCTCAATGTCAAGAGGCATTCTTATTATCCTGATTACTTTGATAACATCAGAGTCTGTAAATAAAGGTTCAGATTAAATATTAATATACTGATATAAGATAACTTATATATTTAATGATATTGATCATTTAGATTTTTAGTATAGTAGAAAGAACTATTTATAATACTGAGTTAAGTCTTGTCCCAGAGACTGTCAAAATATTAATCTGTAAACAAGATTAGCTAAAGTATACAAAGAAATAAGGCTGAAACAAATTGAAGAATAATACTTTATGTGCTTGAAACTGAGAGTTTTTTTTATTTAAGACTTTTTTTAATTTAAGGTTTTTTTATATAAAATATTGTGTTCGATGGATGAATAGCAAAAGGGTGTTGGCCACACAGGCTCTCAGAAAACTTGATAGCTCAATTAGAATCAATAGCTGTTCTGTAGGTTCTTCAGGCATTTGGTAACCTTCTGTCGAGATCATTTGTAATGCTATTGAAAAGAATAATAATTTATTTGGTTAGCACAATTTTATGAAAAAAATAGAACATGATTCAAATTTCTTTTTTTTGAATATTTTTTTTATGAAATCAAACATTTGCTAAGACTGATTTAATAAATTCAGTTATTATCATTATCATGAAATACAAATTAAAAAATAATAATAATAAATAAAAAAAAATAAAAAAACCTCTAAAAAACCCAAACTTGGATTATTATAATAGCTGACAAGTTTTTAAAGGTAAATACAATTATAATGTAATCGAAGTTGGAGAAAAACTGAATAATAACTTTTTCAAAGTAATTTTATATTAACATTGTTATTGTATTTTGTTTAAATTATATTTATTTGACCCGTGGGTCGATAGTGCAGTAGTTAGTGCTTCTAGGTCTTAGTCACAAGGTCACAAGTTCAAGTTCAAAGGATAACAACAATTTTGCCAGGACCATGATTGAAAAAAAGATCTGCAGAGGACTTCCATTTAAAAGCAAGAACAAGATTCATACAAAAAGAATGCAGTTACTGGCATAGCCACAGAGTCAGGAACAACCAGATAAGGCATAATCTGTCAACAAATGACACTAATATTGAGAAAGCCTGATTTAAGAATATATAACGATAGAATTAAAGACTTTGAAATATATAGACAATCTGGCTAGTGGGTCATGTGAAGTTAAGGAACTGCGGACCGAAAAGGATAGTAGGTCTTACACTGCGGGACCAGGGACCCAGGACATCATATGGCGAACTTAATAAAGCATAAATTATCTCATAAGTTTGGTGACATGCAGGAGCCACACACTGTCTAATAATCTTTGCAGAATGATAAATCTGGCCTTTAAAAGATGTGACAGATCCTAAAGGTGTCTAAGAACCTTCAGGATAGCAAAGGGAGGTAAAAAAAAAATTTTAAAAATTATATTTATTTTGAACTATTAATAAATAGATTAGTTTACTATTAGAGGTTTCAGGCAATTCTTCTAAAGAAAATATGTTTATTTATTTTATTTTTTTTAAAACTTCTCTGAAAACACTGAATTGCATATTTTATTATAGCTATTATTATAATTCTCAGAACACCTGTTAAAATTGGCTGAATGATTTTTCAGCCAATTCAGTTAAATTTATGATTTCAGCATAATAAATTCTATAAATTGATATGTATACATATATATGTATATACTAGGTAGCTAATATAAATATTATATGTATGAACTGATACAAATATCTCTAGTTAAATATAGAAGCATGATGCTTTCAAAGCATTTTTGCCAGTGAATAATTAAAAAAAATTAGAAAGCTTATCATTTCGAAAAGTGCAAAAAACCTAGATGATAGCATGTATTTTATAAGTCAAGTTCTCAAGCATATGGATGTACCATAGTGCATTAACTAAAGACCTAGGTCTAATATAAAAATACCTGAAAAAAACTTATAGAATACCTGTGAGTATTTTGATTGTGACTGGGTCAAAATTTTGGAATTTTATCAGAATTGCATAATTTTACATCATATATTATACCTGGGTATTTTGCAAGAAAGGTCTTTTAGTCAGTGCACTAGTACAGTATTAAAAAACTTTTGCAACACATTTTTGACAAATATTAATAAAATCATCTCTAAACCAGTCAACAAATTCTTGACCATATCTTTAATATTGACACCTACTCACATAATATATTTATTATGAAACTTTATTTTATATTTGGAGCCTTTTCTATATTGCTTATTGAGATTTATTGGTTGACAAAAACAGCCTTTTTCATAAGTTTTTGCACAAACTAAACACACTAAACATGTACAAGTATCAACCAAAAATTTAATACTATTGAATGCATTGACATTTATAAAGATAAAATTATCTATATATTACATGTAATTTTTGTTATATGAATAATGTTGGCCAAAGTTTCATAAATCTGATACATAAATAAATATAAAATTATAGTTCCATGATGGATGTCTAGTAATACTGGCAAAGCTTCTGTAATGCTGGTGCAATGATCATGTGTCAGTGCTCTATTTAATATATGAAAAATCATTTGGCCAGTTTTTACAAGTGTTCCAAGAATTATGATAATAGCTATAAATGTTATTTTAATAAATAGTCAATTTTCTGCAAAAATTACGGAATAAAAAGCACTTATGAATAAATTGTTCAACAATAAACTTCAAACACATTAAAACTACTAGAACTAATTCGATTCATAAAAATACTGCATTGCCAAAGCTCAATAGCTTTTTGGCTTTGTACTGCATCATCTTGTTCATTTCTCTGTCTTGTCCTGATAGTATATCGCTCTTTAAACTTATAAAAGACTCAAATTATTTTTAATTTTATGCATTTTTGAAAATTCTAAATACTTAAATTACCCAGTTTTGTTTGTAAGTTTTTAATATTTTACAATTGACACTTCATATATACATTTGTTTGGAATTTATAAAAATATATACTTAGAAAGCAAAAATTAAATTTTGATTAAATGTGCTTAATATAAAAAGAATTATATTAATGGAAATATTTTTGATTTCAGCTCATGAATGTGAAGTTTTTCTATAGAAGTTTAACTGCATATAAATTAGTAGGCCAAGCTGGGCCCAGGTCTAATTTAAAATAAAGCCCGGCCCAGTACACTTAATGAGCTTTTTGTTAGGCTTGGGCTTTGTTTTAAATTTGAGAAAGCCCAGCCTGACCTGATACATTCTGAACTCTATTAACAGATATAGAGTAGAGATTTGTGTAATTTTTACGTATAAGTTTTCTAATGCATGTAAATAGTCATATGTCAGTATACTAGTTAATGTAACATGCATATATACAATATTAATATTATAAGTTTTATTGGATCTATTATGCTGAAATTACAAATTTAATCGAATTGGCCAGAGCATCATTCTAGAAATCATGAATAGTATTCATAAAGATCAGAACTGAATGATTTTTGGTAGAGACTAGACTCAGTCAACTTGTAGCTTAAAAAACATAGTCTTAACTTGAATTAATTCAGACTATGTTTTTTAAGCTATGAGTAGATTTGAGTCCAGTCTCTAATTGTCAGTTTTTAGTCCCTAACAGTCCAGTTCTGGTTCGAAGGCCTCATGGCAGCTGATAAGAAAATGATGAACTAATAAAAAGAAAATAAATGACAATTCTTTTTATACTTTCCAAAGATGAATGATAATAAAAATCTTAATTTTCCAATGTTTCACAATATATTGGAACTAGAGATAGTGATCAATCACTTGGTGATTAATTACTCAATCTTATTATTTGCTAAATTTTTTGTCAATGCATTCTATCATTACAAGAATTTAATGTATTAATCATTAAATTTAATCCAGAACACTATTCTATTTGAGAGATAAGTAAAAAAGGCTGAGCATGACTAAACATGAACGATTAAACATAAAAAAATCAAAAAATTTTTGATTGATCACCATTTCTAATTGGAACACATCCAACCAATCTATCCTCTTTTTTTATTTCATCTACCTCATCTAGTTTCATTACCTTTAATGATTCTTCCAAAACTTTTATATTACACCATCAAGTAATCTACGAAATAAATTAAAAAAATATTTAATATTGATAATTCAAACCTGTAGCATGTAGAAAAGATTATCCTTCATAATCGGTCTTACTATTTAAAAGAAACAGATTATACAATGTGTTTGCATATATCAAAAAAAAGTTAGCTACAAGAAATTTGTGTTTTGTTTAATTAGAAAAACTATTGTAATTTCTTTATTACATTTTTGAGAATATGAAATTATTTCAGTCGTCTTATTCTATTAAATTAAAAAAAAGTACATTTTGCAATGAATATACACATATCGTATATCATTGTCTATTGCTATGCTTTAGACACTCAAAAAATGATACAAAAATTATATTTTTGATGCATGTCGATCAAAATAGTTACTTTTTGATGCATTTATATAAAGTTTTTGAAAATCATATCAAGAATGTAATTTGAAAATTTTTTGTCTGCCATACTGTATAACTATCTTTATATTTTAGTATAAAGAAAATCTGCATATTTATATATTTGCATAGTATGATGATTATGATCTGCTCTAGACATACAATGCTACCAAGGACAGTGATAAAATATCGCAAAAATTTTTTATCGATATAGTGAAAAATATCAATTTACCAAGATTGGCCAATAAAAATGTATAATTTGATATAACACAATAGAATGTGATTAGTAATGTATCTTTATCACTAGAGAGAGAATTGCTACTGATACCACAACACATGATTTATCTCTCTTATCAGCACTATGATGATCAACATAAGCACCCCAAATTTTGACCAATTAGATTTTAGAAGATATTCAAAGAATACATACTATATGTTACATATTCAGATATTTAGGATATTAAATAAAAATTTGGTTTTTCATTTTTGATGAAATCATAACTTTATTGTACAAGTTCTGAAGTTAACATACATAAAAGGCAAAAACTTCACTTCTGAATTACTAAAATACATAAACAGGAAATAAACAGTTTTTTGGATTAAGATAGCCATAATTTTAAGAAAATAAAAGTCAAATTTGAGGATAATAAATTTTATAGTGAAGATAAGAATGAATTTAATGATAAAAGCGACAATGAATTTGGTAGTAAAAATGAAAATGAGATCAAGGAAGATAATAAAACTAGATTTAATAAAAGAAAGACTGTAGATATTCATATATCAATGAATTAAAATAAATCAAAATAACACAGCATTTTTTTTTCTTTTTTAATATTCTATATAATTATAAATTGAGATTATTATACTGATAATTTTTATTTCTTTTAATAGCTAATAAAATTAATGAAATGCTTGAACAAGATTATATTATAGCAAAAGACATTCTTAATACTGCACAGGAAATTGCTAAGTGTCTTGGATTTGCAGTAATAATCAAAAACAGTAGTTGTTGTCATTTACATTTTCAATGCAAACATGGCAGTCAACCTTGTAATACCTCAAATTTGACAGTAAACATGCACAAAAGAAAAAGAATAAGTAAATGTTATGGATGCCAATTTTTTTTAAAGGCAGTACTACAAAATTCTAAATGGCATATTACTGAAATAATAAATAAGCATAATCATCCTATGACCAAAGACAAAAAAATTTTCTATGAACATCATCAGTTAATGTGGAAAACAAGAAGTGTGACTATGTAAATGTTGAAAGCAGGAGCAAGCCCAAATATGATCCATAAAGCTATTAGGAACAAGGATGGAAACCCAACCACAACTCAAAAAACATATCTAATTTAGGCTTACAAATCAACTCTCTAGAGGAGACTGCTTCAATAGAAACACTAATAATTGGCATAGAGAAAAGAGAATATATAGTATGCTATGAAAATTATAAAGAAAACTATTTTTATTAATTTATATTGCTACTATAAATATTTCTATATATTAATAATATAGTCTATTGATTTAGTGTAGATAGTCATCTAAAGCATTTATTTTTCTGTCATTCTAATTCAGTAACAAGTGCCAGATGCTTTCTAGAAGTAGTTTTAATCGATGTCACTTATAAAACAAATGTTTACAAATTACCATTTGTAAATTTTATTGGTATTGGTAATCTTGATATAAATAAATTGCAAACATTTAGTATTGCTAGTATCTGGATCTCTGATAAATTGGAGAATTCATATATTTGGGTTATTCAACAGCTTATTTCTCTTATATTTTTTGAACTTTTTCCTTTGGTGTTTGTTACAGATAATAATGCCACACTTACTAGTGCTGTTAAAAAAATTATTTTAAAAACTAATTGTCTTTTATGTACTTGGTACATTTTAAATAATTTTAAAAAAAATTTAAGAAAACATTTCAATAATGATTCGTTCAATGAAATTATTAAAACTGTGGATCATCTTATTAATGTAAGAGACTATAATACATTCAATTCAACAATTACTACCTATAAAAAATTGACCTCATTAAGCTTAAATAAAGAGAATATAATAAAATATCTTAAGAGATAAATAATTATTTATAAAGAAAATTCTATTTTTACTTAAGTTAAAGTAACCTGATATATAACTTTTATTATATTATATAATATTATTAAAATTCATTTATTCTAACTAATATAATAGAAATTATACTGCTTACATCCTAAATACCTAACCTTCAAAAAACAACTTAAATATCATAGTATTCTATATTTAGACCAACTTACTACATTTGATAATTCATGTTTA